CGGGTTTCCCTTTTGTTTTGCTCCAAGCAGCAGCCCCCGCCTGACGTCTCTGTTTACCACTCGCCGGGGCAGCCATCTGCGCACGCGCCTGGAGAGCCAGTTGGGAAACCGAGTTCTTCAGTCGTGCCACCCTGGTCAGTCTTGAGGACTACATCTCCCGTCCTACCTCGGGACCAGGAGCCCGGTACAAGCGGCCGGAGAGCAGCGTGGCAGGATATGGGGAGGTGGAACTTTAATTATTAGAGGTCGTCGCGGACTCTGTCTTTTCTTAAAAATTATTTTCCTCCTCACCTCGCTTTCTACCCACTTCCTTGGAATTTGGGGTCGCCTAAGTGAACGTGTTGATAGATGCTGGACCTTTCCCTCCAGTTAAGAGGGAGCAAAAGGAGAAAGAAAATCTCTACAAGAAGCAGAAAACCGAAAAGAAGAAGCCAGAACTGGCTAGAAAATAAGTTGTAAGCACGTTGAGGACTTGGGTGGGGGACTTATGTAACATAAACAAATGGTTAGCTGATGGTGGTGGTCTCTCCTGTCCCCCTCCACCTCCGTACGCAGTTTACACCGACAGTGAGGTCTTTCTGTTTCTTCCCACCGGTTCCCCTGAGCTGCCTTTGAATATCGACATTTTTTCTGGTTCTCATATTCAACGGCTTCGCTTCTCATTCAACAGGTCCCAAACGGAACTTTTTATCTGTTCCTGCACCCACACCCCTATCCTCTGGCTCTCCTTAACCTGTGAATTTGGTTAGTGGTTGTCCTGGTCTACCAAGTCTCCCAAGCTAGACTGATTTTGTCTTTTCATCTGCCTAACTTGCTATAATCCAAATCCCAGTTGGAAACCTTATTTATAACTGGATTTAAATTGGAACATCATCTTAATTGAACCTTCTTCCACCAGTCTTTCCCCTCACTACAACATGTTTTTAAGAAGCATGCCTGGGCCAGCGCTGTGGCGCACTTGTAATCCCAGCGGCTGGGGAGGCCGAAGCAGGAGGAACACGAGTTCAAAGCCAGCCTCGGCAATTTAGCGAGTCCTTTAGCAACTCGGTGAGACCCTGTCTCTAAATAAAAGACACACACACACTCACACAAAGGGCTGGGGATGTGGCTCAGTGGTTAAGTGACCCTGGGTTCAATCTCCAGTACCCCTGCCCCCCCCCCCGCAAAAAAATAAAGCATGCCTGGTAATTATAGCTAAAATTTATGGAGAGCTTATTATGTGTTAGTCCCTGTGCTAATTGCTTTGCCAATGTTAGCTCCTTTACTCCTCACATCAGTCTTATGAGGTACGTACCACTATCCTCCTCGTTTTATAGATGAAGATACTACTAATTCTCAGATAAGTGACTTGCTCAAGGAGATAGAAGAATGGCCTAGGAGACAGGAGAACTGGGATCATATTGCTTTTATGTGATCATTTAATTTCTCTACTTGAAACTTCCTCTGATTTCCCACAGTCCTATCTGGTAAAGTTCAAACTCCCTAGCAAATCTCTTCATACTCAGGTCACTTCACACCTTTCTTGCCTCATCTTTTGCTGAGCACAGTATTCCAACCAGCCAGAGTTTCCTACTATTTCCTGGAAATGCCATGCCCTTTCATACCTTTCCTACAGCATCCTGTGATGTCATCATTCTCGTCATCCCTTCTTTTTTAAAAATATTTTATTAGTTATGGATGGATACAATATCTTTATTTTTATTTACTTATTTTTATGTGGTGCCCAGGATCGAACCCAGGGCCTCACGAGTGTGAGGTAGGTGCTCTACCACTGAGCTACAATCACTGAGCTACAATCCCAGCCCAGTCATCCCTTCTTCAAGTCTCTTATTTTGTAAACTCCTGTTCATATTTCCCTATCTCACCTCAGGTGCAGTTAGTTCTCCTTTTACTGTATTCCTAAGCACCATGAGCAGGCTCATATTATATAGTGCAAACCATTTTTGTTTATTTGTCTTTCTCCCAATAAACTGTGAGCTCCTTGAGGGCAGAAACACATTTTATGTATCTCTGTGACCTCAGCTCTGGGTCATATAGTAGACAAGAAATGTTGGTGGAATGAATGTATTAAAGGGATCAGGAATCAAATGATATTACACTTGGACATTTAATAACTTTTAAATAAATATATCATATGTATTCTCTGCCTGGCCATGTTCTGCTTTTCCTATTAGACAACAAGCTTCTAGGGGCAGGGACTGTAATTTGACTTGTCTACCATTTGCAGTGTTTCCTGATACATATTCTGTGATGTCTGGTGAGGAAGGATATCCATGCAACCAGGACTTTTCAGCAGTTTCAGCACATTGGCCGTTCACGGTGATATTAGCCTCCCTATGGTAAAATAACCATCTTAGTTCTCCACATTCCTTTGTTCTACTCCAATTTGCATTTGTCCTCTACATATCACCTAAGTGGTACATCTTGTAAGTGCTTTACAAGTGGTGAATTCAGTAGAGGAGAGGGCCTGGTATGAGAGAGCCTGGTGGGCACTAAGGTACAAGGCACTCTCTTCAAACTGAAACAGGTGTGGTGACAGATCATGGAGAGTTGCTGAGATGGGGAAATGGCAGGGTGGGGCAGGCACCTGTCCTAGCTTGAGTTATATCTTGCATTGTTTCTGTGCATTTGTTTGAAAAGGTCCACCTCTTCACTAACTCATGTCCATCATCTCCTTAAAGTTCCAATTCAAAGCTCAAAACTTACATGTTCTTGGAAACTTTCCCTGACTAGCCCAACCTGATAGATCACTTATCTACTTTACACCCCCTGAACCTCTAGGAACTCCATTTATATTTAATTTTGTGCTTGTGGTTATCTATCTTTCCATTCCATGAGGATATATTGACTCCTCCACTAGATTATAGACTCTAACATCAATCAACAGTTGCTTATTGAGACTTCACAAGATGAAAGTATATCTTGAAAGCTTGAACAGATAAAAATGATCATATGCCATAGGACCAGATGTTTTAGGAGGGTGGGCAAAAGGATTGGTGGGGTGATAAAAACATCATGGCTTTAAAGCTAGAGAGGTAAGGGTAACTCACCTCATTGCTATGGGAGTGTTAGACACATGTCAGTCAAGAAACAGTCAGCAAGATGGCCTTAGAAAATAAAAGAGACTTTGGTCATGGAAGAGGACTAACAGGAAGCCCCCAGAAAACCATTGCTGTCATAAACTATGAATAGATATGGCAGGATATGGGAGGTGCAGCCTTTTTTTCCCAGTTTGAAACCCTAGACTGTATGTTCTCAAATTGATCCCCATTCACCACTTGTTTTATTTTTCCTCTTGAAGGTCACAGGAGTTTGGCTCTCTTGCCTCTTTCACTGTCACCACCCACTCTTCTACCTGGGTGCCACCCCCCAAGACTGCTGCCAAACCGGCTCTATTAATTTGAATTGAGATAGACATTTCCCCACTTCTTTGTTACCCTGCCCAGCTCTGAAAAAAAAAGTACAACCCCCACCTAGGATTTTTACAGGATTTTTCCCTTGTAACCACAGGAAAAGATGCAGTGGTAGACATAAATAATAATGAGAAAATTCCAGATTGTTAGAAAGCACCACCTCTACTTGTCCCTGATCTTCACAGATGTGTATGGAATATGCATATTTTTGGTTGCCCTCTTCCCTAAGACATTTATGGTTTTATCTGTGAAAGAGTCCTTGTCTTAGGAAAACACCTTCTCAACCTTGTCTCTGTGTTGTTTTTTAAAAATTCTTTTTGGTTAGTAAATGTTTCTCAAAGTCCTGTTTTCTAGACACCAGACTAGCTAGGCACTTTCACAAAAAGTGAAGCCCTAGACTGAAAGACTCAGATTTTAGCCCTGAATAGATTTGAGTTGGTTTGCTAAGTTTGAGGCAAGTTTCAGTCCTTTCTGAACCCTGGAAGTCATTCCATTGTAGTAAAAAGAACACTAGATTTTCAGGAGATCTGAGTCCTTGTCATAGCTTTGTCATTCTGTTGTTTACTAATAATAGTTACCCTAATATCAATAGTAACATTGGGTTTTTATTTTGTATTAGGCACTGTGCTAAGTGCTTTACATAAATTGTCTGATTTAATCTACACATGTATAATAAGCTTAATGTTATTACTTATTTTCATTTCACAAAGGAAAGTGAGACTTAGGGTAAAGGGTCAGGAGTTACTAAGAGGTACAGTAGAGATACAAACCTAGTCAGCCTGACTTCAAAGCCTATACAAGTCAATTCCCCTTTTCTGGCTTTGCTTTCTTTATTTGTAAAATGAGAATTATATATTGAATGATCTCCAAAGTCTCTGCTAGCTCTAAAATCCTACTTCTAGTGATTTCCAGTCTGGGTACTATACTCCACATTGTCCTTTGGTCTTTAGGCTTCCCTGAGTTTAAACTTTACATCCAGACAAATTCAGTCCTGGATCCCTGCATGAAGAATTTCCACAATGTTTCATCCCTTAGGTTTTGAGGGTCCTTTGAGCTTCCTCTTTAAGCTTCCTATGGACCTCTATGGTTCCAATCTTTGAAAGTCCTACTGGCATAATATTTACCACAGTTTTGTTTTCTTCTTGCATATGCAAGGCAAACACTCCCTCTGAGTTATAGCCACAATCAATAATTTGTTTTGAGACAGGGTCTCCCTTAGTGGCACAGGCTGGCTTCCGACATGTGATCCTTCTGCCTCAGTCTGTGAGTTGGTGGGATTAGAGTTTCTGGGATTTCATGCATGTGCTGTGACACCCAGTTTTTACCAAAGCATTTTAACCAAAGAGTCT